TCAAAAAAATGAAAAATGAATGTGTTGAAAAGCATTTGAGAGCAATATAGATTGCAGTACTGACTGAATGCATTGGAATTAAATCCATTTGACTCAGGTGACAGGAAGATTGACTTCAAAATTTTATGTTTGCAAATGAAAATCTAAATTCATTGCTAGTAGTATTCTAAATACAAAAGTTTGTGTTGGCTTTTGCCGAACTATCATATAATTATATGGTAAGTTTCTACTTTGTCGTATGTCGTCTCTGGTTCGAGGTCTTCTTCCAATTCCGGGTAGTTCTGTTATCGTTCGGAATATTGGCTCTGATCTATTGAGTCGTAGAGACATTTCGATTAAATTATCGTCGTATAACATTTTGTAAATGTTTTGTCTAAATTCTAATCTATTTTTGGTTAATTCTAAGCTATTAAGGTCTTGTTCGAGACTTATGGTCGCACCAGATGAGTTAGGACCGATGGGTATAACTCATAGAGTAATTTCGGATAGGGTACACCGTCTGCTCGTCACGCTATCTTATTTTCGGCCGGATAGATTCGTGCAACTTCTTAGTCTAATACCGATCCTAATCTTACTCTTATACTATCTAGTCTCAGGTTGTTTAACTACTCTCTGCTAGGCTCAATAGATCTAGGGTATACTGGTTTATTGCGGCTGCTGAAGTACTCGGGAGAGTTCAACTAATTTCTAAGTTAAATTCAAATCTCTCTGGTGCTGAAATTACAAGTAATTTCAGCACTTACAAATAAGTGGATTGTTAGTTAGATGGATCATGATTGGTTAATATTAAATACTTTACATTGGTAAAATATCTAATTTATCCAATCATAAAATGTAGTTTAGATCAGGTTCCACTTTGCAAAAAATGATCGCAGGTGAAATATCTTTTCAAGTTGGAGTTCAGGACAACAATACTTTTTGAATGATATAAATAAAATTCCGTCAAAAATGGCTAGTTAGAAAGTCGAAACTTGTCTGAAGAAAAAAAAACCCACGCCGATCACAAACATTCACAACATGGCTAGTTAGAAAGTCGAAACTTGTCTGAAGAAAAAAAAAACCCACGCCGATAACAAACATCGAAAGTAGGAACAATTCGTGTAGTTTTTGTTCATTTAAATTGCTCGAGGTCAACAATATTTTCAACAGTTTGGAATTAAGTATAACACAAGAAAATCAATTATGTCAGACGTAGTTGCATAAAAAAGCTAGTTTTTCAATCAAAATTGATGACGCAAAGTCGCCATAAAATTCAAAAACAGATCAGAGTCTCTATTAGTTCACAATTATTTCAAGTATGGCAAATCTTTTTTTTAAATGAGCCCAGTTAAAATTTTTGTGAAGTAATGATGATAGTTTATATTATAATTTTTTGTCATGTTTTCTAAACAAAAATTTGTGAAATACATAGCCCATCCCAATATTTTTAAAGCGTATCTGGTGGAGCAGTTTTTACAACAAACAATTGGTAGATTGCAAGTGACTATTGGTTTAAGATTTCATGGATTTTCTTGACGGGTGGGGAAAAATTTGGGAAACTTTAGCGACGGTTTTTTTGATAGATTAAAATGATTTTTTACTTCCAAAGTTCAGTGCTGTATTTCTAAAGACTGTATTTCGCTAAGTAGTAGCAAGAGGTTTCCTGATTGTGGCGAGGGGTCGAAACATTGGCAAGGAGTGCCCCTCTTAACTCCGCTTGTACTGTTCCGTAAGGATCACCCATTAGTTCTGCTGTAACAGCCATAGATGCCCTTGTCGTAGTATCTGTCCACTCATCATGCAAAAACGATTGTCCAGAGACCAAATCAAGTGCATTCTGGTTTTCCATTAATTCGGATTCTTAAGAAGAACTCAAAGTTTGGTAACACTATTATATTGTAGTGCAGGCAGTGATTGAGTCCGATACGCTTTATCCAATCGTTATGAGACTAAATTTCTTATCTAAAATTTTTAAACGAGAATATCTTTAACTTGACAAAACTGCTTGTATACCAGGAAAAGCCCTGGTTTTTCCGACTGCCCTTTAGCTGGTCCAAATAGTTTTTGGTAAAGTATTGATAAACTATAGTTTTTGGACTTCCTATATGAAACATAGCAATTTGGTCGTATCAGGGCCAAGCTCTGAATAATCCGACTGCCTTTTAAGGTCAATGGATTAATGTTCTTTCTTAAACTACCTTTTGGACGCAACTACCTTTTAGAAGAGATATGAGAAAATTGTCAAATCGCTAATTTTTCAAAAATTAAAAAAAATTGTTGTCCTGAGCTTAAATTTGAAAAGATACTTCAGCTAAAATGATTTTTTGTAAAGTTATGGGGGTTTAAAGATGGGACAATTAGCGCGCGATATCTTTCGCGCTGTTAACGCGAGTAAGCGGGGATTTAATCCATCCTCGAAATCGTTCCAAATTGGTTCAGGGGGTTAAGAAAAAGGGGGTGAAGAAACTCGTGTTGGGGTGTTTTTGTGTAAAGGATAAGGTTTCGAAAATATTGAATTGTGATGTGAGTAAATTTAGGCCGTGAGCAAAAAAGCTGCAGTAAACTTGTACAGAGTATAATCCATTCCTATCCATCATAGACTTATTAATGGCTTTAAAATGGATGTTTAATGGATTAAAATCCATTTCAAGTTCTAAAAGGGCAAAAAATCATTGTAATGGAGTTTTATAGGCTGTATAATCAATTGTAATCAATCTTTTTTCATGAAACTCCACTGCGTATCAAAATTTTCTTGTAAAACTGATCTGAATAAAAAACGCCCCAAAAATATAGTTTCTTCACTTTTTTCGAAAATCTGAATGAAAATTCTTGCGAGGTGGGCCTTTCAAAAAACTTGATTTCGAGGCTTTTCAAACAATTGATCTCGAGGCTAGATATCTGTATCGTTCACTTTAAAAATGAAGTGAATTTGGCCACCTGATATCTGACTGTAGGAACAAAAAATCAAAAAACGCTCAAAAACACCATTAATTAAGTTTCAGATTGCCAGCTATTGGCATTTGATTGTTTTGTTTTAGATTCTGTTTGGCAACATTTGGGCCAAATCTTTTTTGAAATTAAAAAAATTTCACTGAACTGTTCGACAGATTTACTGTACCTTCTAGGAATTTCTCGAGGGGGGAGGGCGGCGAATTTTTCAAAAACATTTATAAAACTTTGTCGACCTTTTTTTTTAGGTCGACCAAACTGATTTTCTGAGCTCTCCCAAAACACCATAAAAACCCTATTTTGACCAATTTTTCTGCACCGTAGGCAAATTTTTGAAAAAAGGGTAAAAAAGGCGTTTTTAGGCACTTTTTGGAAATTTCGACCAAAAATTCGAGTTCTTTTTCTGCGCGCGCTCCCCCCTCAAAATTAGTATAGATTCCTTCAGAAAATTTTAAGGGTCAGTCAGCCAAAAATGGATATCTCAAAATAGTGCAAAGGGGGGACCCTTTGAGTCGGCAGGGGGTCGAAACCCTGAGGGGGGTGGGCGTCCTAAATCCGCTACTGCCTTCTCCTCGCCAGTCATTCGCACAATTTCAAGGCACTAGGAGCACGTGATTGAACTGTTTTTGAATTAAATGATGGTAGGTGGTGGTGGGGGTGGAACATTTGTATTTGTAATTTTCTGGTTGTAGAAGTACACTGGGGTAGAATGCGTTTTCACATCAGAACTCAATTGTTCGCAAACACACGCATGAAACAGTGACGCATTATTGTGTCATGTTGACCTTGAGATAAAAAAAATTGTTCATTTTTCGTTTCTTTCATCCAGAAAAGAGTGTGTATCCAGCTGTTCCAAAATATCAGTTACTCGAGATGACATTATTGGAAAAAAACTTGAGGAATAAATTTCCCTTTCCTTTTTTCTACTAATACTCGGGATGGCATTATTGGAAATGAACTTGAGGAAAAATTTTTCCTGTTCTTTTTTTTCCAGCGTTTTCCCATGACTAACAATTTGCAAAGAGCGCGTGTCTGAATTTATTAAAATGGATTTTCACACTTATCTTCGGAATTTACTACTACCAAACTTGTTTTGACAAAAAACAATATCCCTTATGTTTTATATTGTCATGTTTCGTTCGCTTCATTCTTATATCTGATTGTGTTTGAAACTGAATCTAACTACTGGAGGGATAATTGCGCAGCCAGGTATATGGATGGTAAGTTTGACAATACCTCCTACATAGTTCACAGTATGGATTCCGATTGAGGAACTTAGCGACCATCAATAAACTATAGCTTAATGTTTACCAAACACAGCAACACCAATCAGCCACCGCCACTCACAATCTCGGGAAGTTTTCTCGGGTGTTTATCTACAAAAGCGCCTTTTAAGCATACACCGGCGTTCTACAAGCACATAATAGTCTTCGTTATTGATTGGATCAGGTGAATCAAAATACCTTTTAATTATCATCATCGTTTCCAGTTTTAAAACCTCTTTCAAAGTTCATTCACAAAAAAGCGTCCCTTTATGTGGTTTTTGTGCGTCCAAATTAGGCGTGAAGTATTCGTCATCTCTAATTCTATTACTGAACAGTTGTTTATGAAAACATTTTGCGTCGTTTTTTGCGAGGTGTTCAGGTGTTAGGTGAAACATCCCGTGCCTCGAGGTGTGTGGACGCTATATCCGTATTGGGAACCCGTCGGATAGCTGAGATATCGCACATCCTTTACAGACACCTATCGGCGTCTTCTCATTGGCTATCCAACTAGTGTGAACTCAACTCAATTTATAGCTCTTAGTCTGAATTAATTGCGCATTATTCGATTTTATTGCATCTGTCGAGAACAATCGGGAAAAATTAAACCCAATTCCGCTACCTTTTCTCTAAACTGATAACATCCTTAATTTATTAACTTGTAAATGCCAAATAGTTAAACTTAACAGCCTAAGAAATTATCATTTCATACTGTTTTCATATTTATTTAAAAATTAGCTTATAGATGAGTTATTAGTGTAAATACCTTTTACAAATTTCAATTATTTTTTTCCGCTTGTCTCTCCAATATAGTGTAAAAAATAAGGATAATTAATTACCCATTAATTCTTCGAGATACATATCCATTGTTTTCCAGCGTCAATAAACCCTTTTATCTTGAAAAAAATTATAGCTAATTTAATCAATTTAGATATTTACTGTGCAGGGAACCGTTATCAAGTCAAACGCCAGTACAAAATACAGACTGCAAAATTTGAAAAAAAAACTCGTGATCGAAATTAGTGATTGGAGAATCAACAATTGGCTCTCTCGTATTGTACTGATTGAGCGATGAAAATTACCTCTCTAGTACCCCTTCTGGAATTTATCCATCTCATGAATCAGGTTCGTTGGCAATTATTTTCTGACCTTCAACGTCTTTCAATGATAAGGATTAGGGAGTTGAAAATAAAAGCTCTAAATTACCCGAGATTTTCCATGTCCCTTTGTCCACCCTATCTAACCATACCACTGATTTCACCATCCAACCATCCTGCCCTTTTTTGTATAAAAATACTTCAACATCTACATTGAGAATAGTCTTTTGTTGCGAGTTTCCGCATTGCAAAGACAGTTGTCATTATTTCAGGTGTGGTGCAGTGTTGATTTAGAGTTCGAAGTGGTCTCATTTGCCAACCCTAACTCCAAACTGAAATCGGGCGAGTGCTGCTTCGGAAAAGAGGGCTCCCGGGGAAGGTGTCCCCTAACCTGTCGCACTTTCTTCACCGCCTGTGCGTACGGAAGCTCCGGCAACTGCCAGACCAGACACTACACCCACTTGCAATCCAGTGGGGTCATGGGCAATAGCACCTTTGGAAGCAATGCAGTCTACACTGGAAAGAACAGTCGATATGTGATCAGAGGGAAAACCAGGGAAAACATCCAGGCATGTCTTTTCCCTTTCATTTTATTGATGTTCTTCATCTTTTACGCACTTGTGGTTATTTCAACAGCAGTTTTATCTTTGAAGGTTACATGCATGTTAAACGTTTAATGATTTTTCTCTACTGCTGATAGAGACGCAACCTTTCTAAATAATTCAAAAAGCAACGTCGTTTATAAAAATAACTTGTGCTAAACATCAATCCCTATCTTGAACTGCTGAACTTCCTAACCCTGGCTCACAATAACTTATTTACGAAGTCCACTTACATGTCATTATAAAGTAAGAGAGTGAGTGAGTAACTCAGTTGTGTGTCACGTGAGCCTACTGCAGAGTTGCTGCTGTCTCATTCAAAAAAATGAAAAATGAATGTGTTGAAATGCATTTGAGAGCAATATAGATTGCAGTACTGACTGAATGCATTGGAATTAAATCCATTTGACTCAGGTGACAGGAAGTAGTCCTGTGGAGCTACTTATCTGGCAGGTTCCATAGTTCAATCGTCCCAGTAGTTAGATAACAAATAACTTGCAATCAACTACTGGTTAAATATGGCACACACGCAATTATTAGAAAAGCGAGCCATGATTTTCAAGTTTTGAGGAAAAGTCTAAATATTTTTTATTAATTCGTTTTTTTTTCAGGAAGGAGTGACGTTGGACATTGAGGCAAACAACAAGGATTCAAGTTCTTCAAGTAAGTAAAAAACTTTCATTTAAAAACCGAGAATTGAATTCTTATCGGTACAACTTGTTTGACTAAATTAAAATTACCTGGATGTCAAGAAAATAAGAAAATGATGTCCGGTAAAGTTTATTTTACCACCAGTACTTTTTTCACTATTCATTGATTTTTCATGGAAAGATCCTACATTGAAAGAAAAAGAAGTGGCCGCCCGCAACATTCCAAAGCTTTGAAAATCCTACTAAAAAGACGGCATTTGTTGTCTGAAATATGTGGGTGTTAAATACCTATGCCCACCATCTCCATTTCATGTTTCCCTTGAAATACATTTCAGTAATATACGTGAGAGAATACCAGTCTCCCTCCAACTACAGGAGGGTGTTTAAAATATGAATGCTAGATAATTTTATAGAGCCCTAATATTGACGGAAAAGGCCACAGAATCTTTTGATGATTTGGAGATGTTCGAATTTTGTTGTAGATTCGTCCCTGATAGCCGAGTTCCGAGTTGATTTTGGAGACATGATGGGTAAGTTGAACTCGTGGTCTTCTATCATTCGCTCTGACGTGCTCTACTCCAGTGGGCGAGTGTCGATTGAGGTGCGGGGTCGGGTGTCATGCTCGGAGAACTTCTTCGGGTCCGATTGTGAAAAGAAGTGTGTGGAAGAGCCTCTTTACAATCAAGTGTGTGATGAGAAGGGGCACATCATCTGTGCTCCTGGCTACGGCGGCCCTATGTGCGATCAACGTAAGTCATTTTTCGCACTGCTTTTATCGCAATTAGGTCAACCTGTTCTGTTTTGACAAAATAAACGTGTCTTATTCCTTCGTTAACGCATATTTATAGTAACTAATACTTCCATTACATGATAATATTAAAGAAAAAATACTTATTCGAAAAAAAAGATATTTTTCTTAGCTTTATCGCAATTGGTGCCTAGAATTGTTAATAGCATAATTTTTTTTTCGTATTCACCGCGCTAATGTTTTGTTTGCCATGAAGAGCCCTTAAATGTTTCCGTTGATAGCTGAGGTTGAGCTCAAACAATGAAAATAGTCGTTATGCTAAACAACTGTTCAAATATACCATCATGCCTACAATTTATACCAACATAGACAACAACAATTGACAACAAAGACAATATGTGAGTCGAAGACGAAAACCAGGTCAACAGATTCTAGTACTCGAAAGATCACGATCAATTGTTCATTATTTTGAACTAGGTTTCAGCATAAAACATATTGGACCATCCGTACTTCATTCAGTTGATGCATATGTTAATAAATCCTAGAAAAATTCAAGCATTGATAAGGCGGACGACTCATGCGAGTCCTAAATGTCATGAAGGTCATTTAGCCTCAACATAAAATATCAAGTTTAAGGTGTAAACCAGTGCAAAGCTAAAACGTGGTCGTTGATTTTGCAGCAATATGTGACGAGGGCTGTGAGAATGGGTTCTGTGGGGGTCCCAACAAGTGTGTATGTCACCCTGGCTTCTCTGGTCCCACCTGTGGGGAGTGTGTGACGTCACCTGGCTGCAAACACGGCTACTGCTCCGGACAGAGGCCATCCACCTGCTCCTGTGAGGTGGGCTGGGGAGGAAACCACTGTGATATAGGTGAACAAACGAGATGTTATTTTGCTACTCATTAAGACAAACAATTATGGACTTTTTTCAGACTCAAACGAAGAAAAAACGTAAATGGCGTTAAAAGTCGTCCACAATACATAACAGCTCAGTGTTAACTTGAATTGATTGTCACTTTTTCTAACAATCTGTTGGTTATGATCTTTATCGATTGAAATCATCAAGTCAGTGAAAACATGCAATGAGTTAAAATGTCACTACTGTCTGATGTTTCATTTGAGCTCTAACATTTACCAGGTACAACTTGTGGTGCTTTAAGTTTAAAATGGGTTACTTTTTTAGATCTGGAGTACTGCACCAGAATGAAGCCTTGTGTGAACGGAGGAAAGTGTCTGGCGGCCAGTGATGCTGATTCCCTGTTCAAGTGCCAGTGCCCGGACGGGTTCTCTGGCGCCAAATGCCAACACTCTTCCAGCTGCTCTGCTCCTGGCTACTGCCAGAATGGGGGCTCATGTCTCGATCCACAGTCAAGCATCTGTGAGTGTCCTAAGACCTGGACGGGTGCAAGATGCGACGTGATAGCAACATGTGACATTGTCAGTTGCCAAAATGGGGCCACATGCGAGAGATCTATCACCACAAATGAGCTGTACTGTGCGTGCCCTACTGGATATGTCGGAAGTTTCTGTGAAATTGAGGATCCATGTGAAACTAGAGATAACGAACCTGCATGCAAAAACGGTTCGCTTAAACGATTTCCTTAACTTCCGCACGGAACTTCCTTAATCTATTTCTTAATTCAAAAAAACTAATCAAATCAATTTTAAATGCAAATTGCTTCTTTTCGGTAACACCGCGTAAAAATCAGGTTTCTAAAATGATTTTTTTTTGCTTAAGATGGAATTTGCATATCTCACAATGACGGGACCTTCGAATGTCTATGCGAGAGAACTTTCGTCGGCAGCAAATGTGAGACGCCTGCTTACAAATTATCATGCGACCAGAACCCATGTCAAAATGGAGGAAGTTGCATTAAGTTTGCAAATGACGTGAGATGCAATTGTGCGAATGGATACACAGGCAGTTTTTGTACAATCAAAAGGAACCCCTGTCATGATAACCCATGTCTAAATGGGGCCAAATGCATATCTACAGATAATGACTCTTACAAGTGCAGATGCCAGGAAGAGTTTTTCGGGAAATATTGTCAGTACAGGAACCCAAATTTTGGGAAAGTTGACGAAACTACATCAGAAACTTATAAACTAACCACTCCGGAATCATCTCACCCTATATTTAAACGACCACGGCCAGACAGCCAAAAAAGTAACCAGAGCAACGGAGTAAAATCGGAAGAAATCAAGTCAGAAGTCAGAAACTCGTTCGACTTAAACCTGGAACTGAATGTGGAAGAAAATGAACTTGCACCAATGGCGTATCTGTTGCCCTCTCTCATTGGCGTGCTGGTCACAAGTGTCACTATTCTATCAGTCTACTTCCTCATGAAGAGAATTTGCAGAACCAGAAACAGGTAAATGCTTGCAATCACGCAATATTTTGTGTAAGACAACCTTTTCGGATGAGAATGTTTCAGAGGCAATGAGTTTTGGATATGAGTTTCAATTACATGGTTTCTTTCAAGGTCTCCGTAGATAGTTTTGGACATGTTTGTTATCATGATTTTTTAAGCCCTGATCAAAGACAAGACAGTAATACATGGGATCAGCTGAAAGACATGCCACATATGCGAAACAACTCCCAACAAGTGGCGATGAGTTCCGGCAACTTCCCCATAGAAGTCAGCACAAGTCATCAGCCGCCATCATGCTCCATTAAAATCAACAATCTCGAGAGAGCACAGAACAACCGAGATATAGTTCGTAACAACCGCAACTCCACAGTACCTGAGAAATGGGCGCGGGAGATATTAGAACCAAATTTGGTGTCGCACCAGCAGCACAAGCAGACTAAGTGTGATGCGATCAAGTTAAAGGAGATGATCAAGGCGGACTTAGAGCGGCATCCCGACATGACTGAAGAAGAGGAGTTCGAAATGACTGTCAGGTGTTACCAGCTTCGCGACGAGTTTGGAGACCCGACTTTTGTTCCCCTTTTTAGCGGGCTCAACTCACCGTTTAACAAATCCTCGAATGTTTGAAACTAATACAACCCAAAGCACCCGTTAAGGTTTCGAACTATGTCAAAAACTATCTTAATTATTATCAAAACAGTTTGAATGAAAAGTCGTACAAAACTTCAGAATGAAAATGGGTTTTATTGTGGTAAAAATGATTGCCATGAATTGAATTTTGATGAAGTAAATTGCTGTAGTATGTTCTATTTTTGTAAATACATTCTTTTCCACTATTGCTTAAACTAATTTATGAGACCGAGACAACGAATTCATAACAACTTGACGAAATTAAAGACGACTAAACCAAAAGAAAATAAAAAAAAAAAACTGCTCGTATCAGTGCGAAGCAGAGAATAATTTTACGACTGCAGTTTGAAGTCATATAAACAAAACAGCGCTTTAATCTTCCCAAATCGACCAGGTTGGCAATTTTGAACCCCCAATAATTTTACTAAAAATAATCACAGAAAACTATCTTGAGCTCAGGGCATCAAAATATTTCAGATGATATAAAAAAAACCATCAAAATGGCTAGCTAAGAAATCAAAATTTAGCTGAAGAAAAAATGCTTGAATGTTTCAAGTGCTCTTTATTATAAATCACAAGTATTTACTTGATTTTAAAAAAAATTTTATGAAACAAGAAAAACTTGAATTCAAATAAAGTTTTTTCTGTGTGGTAACGAATTTATAAGAGCAAATTGCTTACCTCAGTTCAATTTGAACAATTAAGTTTGCCGTTGATGCTACGAAGTAGTACGAAATATATTACACATTATTTACCCCAATTTGAACTATAGTCGTCAAAGTAAACCCAAGTTAAAACCATTATAAATTTGTGAAAACTAATTACCGGTGAATTTTTTTGATTTTGGACTCCAGGCAGCTTTCTGTCGGTTCATAAGATTCTGTCAAAAAAGCTTAGTTAAAAATTCAAAAATTGTCTGAACCACTCCGAGCACAAATATGCAGCGCTTTTTTGTCGGTAACTGTAAATTGAACGAGACGAAGCAGAGACTTCTTTTCATTTGCGATAGGAAAAGGAAAGATTCTCAGTACTGGCAAATGAACCGACAGATCGAACAAAAACTTCATGATATCATTGCACCTGTAGAAGTTTTACAAGGTGAGGCAAAGCAAAGAAAAGCAATCTGGCATAAAACACACGCACAGCAGGAGTAACTAACCGACAAAAAAGAGATGAACACCTTAGAAAAATCAAAAAATTATCGTAAAAAGTGGTAGAAAATATGATCTACAAAAAATATTCCAAACTTTGTCTTAATTGTGTCTTGATAGGAGTTCCTTGCATAAAAACATGCTAAAAACAATAGAATGTTAAATGAGCATTAAAACAAAATTTATAAAGCGGTAATAAAGCCGACAAATTTTGGGCAGACGCGCGTTGCGCCGAAAAAAAATCGTTCATTTTTTGCTTTCAAAAAACTTAAAAAGTAAAAAAAAAACAATTTAAATCCCCCTATCAAATAGATAAAATAAAACAATGCCCATTTCCCGATTGCAGTACCTTTTTTTATCACAAAGGTTAAAAAAATGTTCGAACATCGAGATTATGGAATGACGAGTGGTTTTACAAAGTTTAGTTTGAAGACCAGATGTGTTTGTCATAAGGTAAACAGTCAAATTTTAGAACAAACGGAAAATGTGAACAAAAACCTGGATGAAAAAGTACCAGGCGGAAAAGGAAAAAAAACTAGCAGTTGATCAAGAAGAAGTGCGTCAACACTTTGAAAAGAACTAAAAAGCAATAAATACCGGTTTGCTTTTCGTCGACATGAAAAAAAACCTTCGACAAATTTTTGAAACTTTTTTGTTGACCAAGTCACAACTGAAAAACTAAACAGTGATGTAAGATTGACCTTCAATTAACGACTATTTATGGCGGCTAATCTGTCAAGCAAAAAATGAAAAAAAAGTTAAAGTTTTTCTTGTGAACAAAATTGTAGAAATGCATTATACAATCTATCAAAAAAACTTTTTTGCAGCTTTCTTACAATGATCTTAAACTCAAATTTGATCACTTGTTTGAACGTTTTTTTATTTTCGCAGATGACAGCTTTCAATGCGCAGCACTGAAATTCGCAATAGCCATTGTTGAGATTCATTTGTGACAGTGACTCCGTTTTAATCGCTTTGTATGCTTATTTACTAAATCTAATACTTCATTACAGCCACAATCAGGACATTGCTCATTGTTCAGTTGTTCAGAAATCAAATTTGGACTTGAGTTTTTTATACAGTTTTCAACTCAATAATTTAGCTGTTCGATCAGTTAGTTAAATTGGGGGTGTATATATATATTAGGCGAAAACTATATTAGGCGAAAATGAAAGTGTTAAATTTAGGCAAACATTTTGATGATAAAAGTGTAAATTTAGCAAAAATGTACCTAATTTTTTCGACGACATTGACAAGAAGCGGTTAAAGACTACAAAGCTATGCGCGCGTCGCCACTTCGCGACGATAACTTTTATTTTATTAAATTCAAGGTCCCACTGGCGAACTTGAACCGACAAACGGCTTGTTGATAGATTTGAAAAAACTTTTACGAACTAAATTATTCTTTTTGGAAATAACAACTACCCCATAAAGGTTTAATGATAGCCGGAACATTTCAAGCTGTCCAGATCTGAGCTTACCTGTTTTAGCAGAAATTATATGTGGTTAATCACGAAATTCCATAGCTCCATACAAAATACACGTAGTTTTATTCAAACAGCAAATCAACGGTAGTGACCGCTACAATCGGGCAAACGTGTTGCGATTTTGCCAACAGAGGGTAGGACTCTTTACTAAAAATGAGGACTCTTTACTAAATTCAAGGTCCCACTGGCGAACTTGAACCGACAAACGGCTTGTTGATAGATTTGAAAAAAGTTTTAAGAACAAATCTATTCTTTTTGGATATAACAACTACCCCATAAAGGTTTAAGGATAGCCGGAACATTTCAAGCTGTCCAGATCTGAGCTGACCTGTTTTCAATGTTGCAACTCACCAACAAAATACACCTAACTAGTTTGCGAAATCATTTAATTTGTGTCTTCCTGAATCAAATTACTGTTATCGGCTAAATTATATGTTTCTAAAACATTGGTCATTGTCATTTTTCAAAAATAAACAATTTATGTTGTTGGAAGTTTCAAAAATCAGATTTTTTTAATGTTTTTTATCAATAGAAATTTATGGATTTAAATGGCACGAACTTGTTGTTACTTAGACGGTTTTGCTCAGTACTTTAAGTTTTTCTGAATAAAAGAAGCCTATCATTTCAAGGTTTTTGTTCCGACTTTGGTAACGAAAGTAACGGAATATTTGTGCTCCGGGTGCTTTTTTTTCTTCAGACAAGTTTTGACTTTTTAACAAGCCATTTTTGACGGAATTTTAAAAAATCATTCGAAAAGTATTGTTGTCCTGAGCTTAAATTTGAACAAAACTGCTTGTATCAAGGCGAAGCCCTGAATGTTCCGACTGCCTTTTAAGGTTTATGGAGCAGTAATAACATACAAAAAATTAAATGAAAAAAAAAATTAAATGAACTTTTTTTTTCTAAAATTGGAAAATTTTTATGAAAATCATCAACCCACACGCCATATAAAGTACAAAAGGATAGATTTCGTTCCTTGTAACAAATAAATTATGGCAAATAAGCTTCGTTCAACCCCTTTGGAACGATATCTAAGACGGATTAAATCTCTGATTACGCGTTAATAGCGCGAAGTATATCGCGCGTTAATTCTCCCAAGTTGGTCAAAATGGCAATTTTTGAACCCCCATAACTTAACAAAAAATGATCACAGGGGAAATATCTTTTAAAATTTAGGCTCAGAGCAACAAAAGCTTTTGAATGATATGAAAAAGGATCCTAAAAAGAAGGACTCTTTACTGAATTCAAGGACCCACTGGCAAACTTGAACCGACAAACGGCTTGTTGATAGATTTGAAAAAAGTTTTAAGAACAAATCTGTTCTTTTTGGATATAACAACTACCCCATAAAAGTTTAAGGATAGCCGGAACATTTCAAGCTGTCCAGATCTGAGCGGACCTGTTTTCAATGTTGCAACTCACCAACAAAATACACCTAACTAATTTGCGAAATCATTTAATTTGTGTCTTTCTGAATCAAATTACTGTTATCGGCTAAATTATATGTTTCTAAAACATTGGTCATTGTCATTTTTCAAAAAAAAACAATTTATGTTGTTGGAAGTTTCAAAAATCAGATTTTTTAAATGTTTTTATCAATAGAAATTTATGGATTTAAATGGCACGAACTTGTTGTTACTTAGACGGTTTTGCTCAGTACTTTATGTTTTTCTGAATAAAAGAAGCCTATCATTTCAAGGTTTTTGTTCCAACTTTGGTAACGAAATTAACGGAATATTTGTGCTCCGGGTGCTTTTTTTTTCTTCAGACAAGTTTTGACTTTTTAACTAGCCATTTTTGACGGAATTTTAAAAAGTCATTCGAAATGTATTGTTGTCCTGAGCTTCAATTTGAACAAAACTGCTCGTATCAAGGCGAAACCCTGAATGTTCCGACTGCTTTTTAAGGTTTATGGAGCAGTAATAACATAAAAAAATTAAATGAAAAAAAAAATGAAAACTGTTTTTTTTTCTAAAATTTGAAAATTTTTATGAAAATCATCAACCCACACGCCATATAAAGTGCAAAAAGATAGATTTCGTTCCTTGTAACAAATCAATTATGGCAGATAAGCTTCGTTCAACCAATTTGGAACAATTTCTAAGACGGATTAAATCTCCGATTACGTGTTAATAGCGCGAAGTATATCGCGCGTTAATTCTCCCAAGTTGGTCAAAATGGCAATCTTTAAACCCCCATAACTTAACGAAAAATGATCACAGGGGAAATCTTTTTTGAAAGTTAAGCTCAGGGCAACAATAGTTTTTGAATGATATGAAAAAGAATCCTAAAAATGAGGACTCTTTACTAAATTCAAGGTCCCACTGGCGACCTTGAACCGACAAACGGCTTGTTGATAAATTTGGAAAAAGTTTTAAGAACACATTTATTCTTTTTGGATTTAACAACTACCCCATAAAGGTTTATAGATAGCCGGAACATTTCAAGCTGTCCAGATCTGAGCTGACCTGTTTTCAATGTTGCTACTCACCAACAAAATACACCTAACTAGTTTGCGAAATCAGCTAATTTGTGTCTTCCTGAATCAAATTAGTGTTATCGGCTAAGTTATTTAAAAAAAAAATT